TAGTCTGGCATGAGCAGCGCAGATATATTGCAGGTATGGAGGGGGACAAGACAGCTTCGCATGCTGGAGGTGTGGGGAGGCGATGGAGGACGCGCTTCATTGCTACTGGACATGCCCATGCCTCCCAGAGCTTGCCCGTTCCCACCCAGCCATCGCCGAATCGCAGCACCTTTCGCAGCGAGCTACGGTGGAGGCGGCATCCAATGCCATCAAGTGGCTACGAGGCCGACAGCCGCAGCGCGATACAGTTGGAGTTGCTGTTAATTTCCACGGCGCCGAGGACCCCCAAGGGACTGGAGTTTTGAGGGTGCCCTGGACCTTTTCGTTTTCTGACTGGCGCCTGGTTGGGATTGATGCGTCAGGAGGAAAGGTCACTGGGGATCCGAGGCTCAGGAAGGTTGGATGGGGCCTCGCGCTGCTCGATCAGGACATACGTGCGATCGGCACGATCTTTGGCCCAGTCCCAGACAAGCAGACTATAAGTCGTGGTGAGCTCATGGCCGCCATTACTGCGCTGGAATTACGGGGCCCATCCACCTAGTTACCGACAGTCTGTATCTTCTTCGAGGGTTCAGACATGGGGCCCCATGGAGACACAGGCTCAATACTGATCTTTGGAATGTTTTCTGGAAAGTGGTTTCGAAGCGACATCATCCCTTTACCTTAGATAAAGTTATGGCCCATGCATCTCTGGAAGATCTCGAGAGTGGAGTGGTCTACCCAGTCTACTAGTTCGTCATTCACGTTGCCGACGCAGTTGCGAGGAGAGCAGCTGACTTCTTTGAACTACCCGAGGAGATCCTCGAGCACGTTCAACAACGGGACCGTGAAATGAGCCTAATAGTTAAACGCCTTGCTGTTATTCAGTTTCTTGCCTGGTTCCACGGGCCCAAACTCGGGGCCTTCAAGGCCCCTAGGGACGCTTTGGTCCGTCGGCTTCGGGAGGCTCAGCTGAGCCCGCGCTCTATCGAACAGCGTGGTGATCGAATGCAGTGTGTGCGGTGTGACAACTGAACTCGAACCGCCAATGGTCCTCCCCCTCTGGAGGGATCTTCGTCGCCAAGGCCGCACGCAGCTCGAAACATATGCCAGAATGGTTAAAACGTAACAACCACAAAAGCTTGCACATTCATATTGCTACGTTCGCGCCCCCCCACACGAAAACGAGTTTCGGTATATGGGCCTCGTCGGGGCCTTCGAAATGTACGCGGGCTCTTCGGTGTACGTGGTGTGCGGGCGGGTCGTGTTGTACACGGGCGCTGTGGTACACGCGGAACGTGTTTGTGTGGCCGCAGGCGTTTTGTGCAAAGGCGTTGCGGCGTACGCGTTCGCAGTGGTATACACAGGCGCTGTGGTACACAGGAGCAGCGCCATGCACCCAGTCATTGTAATGTACACAGGCGATGTGGTGCATGCGTAGGTTGCTGCATCCGCATGCGTGGTGAGAGCAGACATTGCGGTGTCAACGCGCAGTGCGGCTATCGCAGGTGCAGCGCCATTTCGCTACAGCAGCATCAAGAATAGCAACAGGGACGGTGCCCCCTGGAAACAATGTTCGAACTGCTGGGCACGATTGTGTTATGTTATGTGCCAGCGAACCCATTCACCCACCCAGCCGCATAACGCGCGTTATGCGGTGTCAACACAATTGAGCTCAACACGACCGTCCACTCTGTGTCTGTGTTGCGCAAGCTTCTACTTTTGGCCATGAGTTTCGAGGACCTGTCAGGTGGGCGTTCCATTGTGATCTGGACTTCCTTTTTCATTTGAACCACTGTGATATACTCAAGCTTCTGGCCCTGAAATTTTCCATGTTCCAGACCTCCCAGGCGAGCGCCCCATCTTAAATGCGATGGATTCAGGTTGTAAAGACGAGTGCGGAGAGCACTGAGGCGAGAGCCCCGTGTTTGAAAAGAGTTGCTCTCCACTTCTGTGAAGGTCGCGAGCTTGCGAAACGATAGGTCGCGCTGCTCGGGCGAGACCCCACCATTAAAAATGAGCCAGACCCTCCCGCGCAACATGTTTTCGAGCGAGTGTGCGCGGCACTCAGGGGACAACCTCGTTTTGAGAGCGGCGCCCCATCCACCACCCTTGTAGCTGTTGGCAAGCTGTAAACACGAATGTGCGCGCCGGTCGGGTGACAACAGCATTTTGAAAACCCACCCGCCCTCCATCCGCGTACCCCTCGCACCCGCGGTTGGGCGGCGGCGGGTCCATCTCCTGCGGGGGCCGGCCCAGTTCTCCCCTCCTCCTCATCTTCCCCCTCCTCCCCCTCCTCCTCCTCCTCCTCCTCCTCCTCCTCCTCCTCCTCCTCCTCCTCCCCTCGCCGCTCGGCGTCCCGAGAGAGCACTTGTGGGCGTTCAAGACGAAGGTGCGCAACGCTCGGGCTAGAGCCCCCGTTTTGAAAACGACCCGCCCTCGACCGGTGCAGCCGTTGCCAGTCGCAAGTTTCTCAAGAGCAGAAGTTTCGAGGGAGTCTCGGGCGAAACGCACGGCCCGCGTTGCCGACAGGCGTGGTACGGTAGACCAGGAAGAGCGGTTGCGAGGCAAGGAGTTGGAGGGAGGGGGAGGGAGGAGGGCAAGGGAGGGTGGATGAGAGGGGAGAGAAGAGAGGAGAGGGAGGGACATGCTGTTGGTGCTCCTCCGGTTTGTGAGGTAGAGGGAGGCGGGAAGGGAGGAAGGGGAGAGGAGAAGGAGACGTTGATTGCGGAGTGTCGTGCTGCAGGTGCATGCACTGCCTTGAAGACAAGCTAGACAGGGCGATGCTTGGCTGGAGGAAAGCCTTGGCATCGCTCGGACGTGTGCATTTGTTCGGCGTGGACCATCGAAGAGCACCCCGGGTCATCGAGCAAACGAAACACGCACTAAACATGCACAGGAAATGGACACCCGAGCGATGGCAAGAAGAGGGGGAGAGAATGATGAAAGAAGGAGGGGGGCAGCCAAGTGTCTGCCGCGTCGCCCTCTCGGGCAGCACTGCTCCGTAAGATCGGTTGTCAGCTCCTGTGCCTCCAGTTTGCCCAAACGTGCAGATAGCAACGTGCATGGGACCCCTGGACGAGTCCGCACATGTCCTCGGATCAAAAACCGGGAAGAGACGACAAGACAGACAGACAGACAGACAGACAGACAGACAGACAGACAGACAGACAGACAGACAGACAGACAGACAGACAGACAGACAGACAGACAGACAGACAGACAGACAGACAGACACACACACACACATGTGTATACGCACATTTATGTATGTATATATACACACCAAATCAGCTATTAGGAGGGAGGGCCAACATGGCCGAGGTAAGAGACGGTCTTCGCCGTCCATCTGAAAGTTCGCAAGCATGCCCGACACCAAGCCGCGCCCACTGGGCGCAAACTACGACGCACCATGGCCATGCTAGGAGCGCTGCGCCTGTGCGCACGGACAGCTCGCCGAGGGAGTCCTCGGCGGTGGGGCAGGGCGCGGGAGGGAGGGAGAGAGGGAAGGAAGAAGGAATCAAGAGGAGGAGGAGGAGGAGCAGCAGGAGGAGGAGGAGGAGGAGCAGGAGGAGCAGGAGGAGGAGGAGCAGGAGGAGCAGGAGGTGGAGGGAGAGGAGTAGGAGGAGGAAGAGGAGGAGGAGGAGGAGGAGGAGGAGGGAAAGGCTCTTATCTCAGGCGGGGAAAATGGAAGGAGGAGGGAGGGGGGGCGACCCCCCCCCCCTTCCGGAAGCCTCGGGGGGGGAGGGCGATGCACGCGCCACTCTGCTGGCAGAGGGGATGAGGTCTCGAGGAATACGGCAGGAACCCCACCAGACTGCACTCGACATGGACCCCCACCCGCGACAGAGCGGACGGAACGCGTCGAGCTGGAGAAAGGTGTCCAGACCCCACCAATCCTCACAGGTGGGAGGAGGGAGGAGGGAGGAGGGAGGAGGGAGGGAGAAGAGAGGAGGGGGGAGGGAGCAGGGGGAGGAAGGGAGGGAGCAGGGCACTACGACCACCACTACGATCACTGCCACCACCCTCGCGACTCCCACTACCGCCGCCGCCTCCCGTTCCCCTCCCCCTCCGCCCTCCTCTCCCTGCCCCTGTCGGCCCACTACTGCCGCTGCGCCTGCTTCGCGCCTGCCCCTTCTCTTCTCCTTCCTCCTGCTGCCGCTCCCCCCCCCCCCCCTCGCCGCCTGCGCCCCTGCCGCCTGCCCCGCTGGCACGGTCGCCGAAGGCGACCGCCTGGCCTGTCTGTGGTTTCGCCTGTCTGTGGTTTCGCACAGGGGCCCCGCCGCAAGCTGCCCCTGCCCGGGCCTCGTTGGGCTCCTGCTGCCGGCGGAGTGCCTCCGATGTAGAGGGCACAATCATCGCAACGAGCCTGGTGGATCTGTGGCTGTCGATGCGCGACGACTGAACAGACGACGACAAGCCACGCCCGCAGACCACAACAGCTTCGGGCTGACGACGACAGCCAACATGGGCAGCACGGCGCGACGTGACAGAGCCGACCACGCTTGCTCAACCTCGTCGACGTGATCCTGCAGATCTGGCCCCAGCTACACAGCGTCGAGAAGAGCAACCATCCGCCTTCGCAGCCTGTGTGCTCTCCAGAAATGGTTTCTTGCGCGTAGTGAAGTCGAGGCCAGCATGACCGTGCTGTAGCAGGATCCTGCCCCCTTCTTTTTTCCAGGGAGGGATGGAGGGAGCAGGGAGGAGGGAGCAGGGAGGAGAGAGCACGGAGGGGGAGAGAGATGAGGGAGGACGGAGGAGGGGGCAGGGAGGAGGCAGGTAGGAGGGAGGAGAGGGGGAGGAGGGAGCAGGGAGCAGGGGGCAGGGAGCAGGGAGGAGAGAGCAGGGATGGGGGAGAGAGAGAGAGAGAGAGAGAGAGAGAGAGAGAGAGAAACAAAACAAAACAAAAAAAGAAAGAGAGAGAGAGAGAGAGAGGAGGGAGCAGTGGGGCCAGGGGCCTGGCGGACTGGGGCGGGGCACGCCCCGATGGCGCCTCGACGCGGGGCCTCCCCCCCAATGAGGTGCGGCCGTCCCGCACGGAGGCGAAGCTGAAGAGCCCGAGGGTGCTCCAGACGCGGCTCGCCAAGATCTCGGAGGAGGGTATGATGGGCCTGTTTTCCACCACCACCACCATAAGTTGGAGGAGGAGGGAGTCCTCCTCCTCCTCATCCTCCTCTTCCTCCTCCTCGTCCTCCTCCTTCCCCCCTCCAACTTATGGTGGTGGTGGTGGAAAACAGTCCCATCAGGGTAGGGGGCCCCAGGCAGTTTCCCCCAGACCCCCTCGAGTCATGATGCTATAGGCTCACGCCACATCCGCCGACCCCTACATGAACGACTGCGTCTCCAGGACTGCGTTTCACGAGGCGTGTCCGAATCATGACACGGCGCTCGACATCATGCCTGTTGCTTCGTTGCTGGTATCGTACTTCTTGGTGCTTTTTTGCGGCCTTTTGGTGGCATCTTGCCCTGTCTGCAGGCCATATCCGGCCGCCTCGAGGCATCTTGGGCCAAGTTTTGGGGCCTCTTGGGGGCTTCCCAGAGGCTTATTGGAGGCCTTTGAGGTCCTCTTGGGGCTCCCTCAGGGCCTCTTGGGTTGTTTTTGGAGCTCCGGGGGCGTCTTCGGACCGAAGGCTCGAAAAGGTGCCCTGTGGGCTCCGTCATGGAGCCGTCTGGGGGCCTTCTTCGGTTGTCTTGGGGGCTACGGAGGCTGTTGTTGCACCCTCTTCGACCCTTCTTGGGGGCCCCTTTGGCCGTCTGGGGGCGATATTGATTGTTTATCTGCCCGTTTGGGACGTTGTAAAAACCGAATAGGCGAGCATGCGAAAAAGGATTGTCTTTCTGAGGGAATGGGGCGATTTTTGGTTTCCTGGGACTCTTGGGGCGCATCTTGGAGCCTTTTGGGGCGTCTTGGCAGCTTCGGAGGCCGCGTGGAGGCCATCGTGGGCGTCCAGGGCGATATTTCGGCGAATCGTGGCCCTCTGGGAGTGTCAGGGGAGCGTTTTGATGTCTTCTTGGCCAGTTTTGGAGCCCTTCGCTCCCCCGTGACGCGTTCGGTCCAGGGTCGGGCTGGGCGAGGACAGTGGCGTCTAGCTGGTTTGGGATCCCTGGGGGGGATTATGGGGGGGGAGAATCTCACACGCCTAGAGACCCACAAGGGGTCGGCGGATTATGATGATGATGATGATGATGATGATGATGATGATGATGCTGCTGCTGCTGCTGCTGCTGCTGCTGCTGCTGCTGCTGACGATGATCTGTAATGGTGATGGCGATGCTGATGCTGATGTTGCTGCTGCGGAGTACGATGATGGTCATGCTGGTGATAATGCTGCTGATGATGCTGATGATGATGCTCATGATACTGATAATGATGATGATGATGATGATGATGATGATGATGATGTTGCTTATGCCGGTAATTGTGCCGATGGCGACTGTGCTGCTGCTTATGACAAGGACGCTGATGCTGTTGCGAGTGATGATTAGCATCCCGTTGACCACGAGGATGCTGATGATACTGATGACGATGGTGGTGATAATGCTGATGGTAATGGCGGTGACGCTGATAATGGTCATGATGATGTTGATGCTGATGGTGATGATGATGATGATCATAATGCTGATGCTCATTCGGATGATGATGATGATGCTGATGATGCTGATGATGATGCTGACGACGACGATGATGATGATGATGATGATGATGATGATGATGATGATGTCGATGCTGATGGTGCTGATGCTCTTGACGATGCTGCTGATGATGCTGCTGATGCTGATGATGATGCTGATGATGCAGAGGCTACTTGCGACGATGCTGATGATGATGCTGATGATGATGTTGATGCTGATGGTGATACTGTTCATCATGCTGACGCTGACGCTGACGCTGCGGCTGCTGAAGATGAGTTGTAGGAGGCAACATATGCTGATGATGCTGCTGCGTCGAGGGCCGTCGAATGCAGCGGCGCGGGTGGAGCGGAAGGTGCCCCAGAGGTGGTGGCGGCCAAGACAGCAACGGCGTCAAGTGTGCGGAAGTGGAGGAACGAGCTTACGGATAGCGGGTTGAACGCGGGGCAACGTAGCGTCGTTGAGAAGGTGGCAGATCGAGTGTTGGCGCAAGAATTCGCCGGCGTCGTGGGCGGCAAGGAGTCAGGCCAGAGTCGTTCTGATTTGCAGCCCGTCGTGTGGATGTTGCATGGTGGTCCAGGGACCGGGAAGAGTATCGTAATAGACAAGATCCGGAAGGAGCTGTTCGAGAAAGAAATGGGGTGGACGCGCGGCATAGATTTCCAGGTGGCTGCGTTGCAGGCTACAAACGCGGCAGCTCTGGACGGGAATGCAATTCACAGTGCATTTGGGATCGGCGTGAACAAGACGAAGGAGCCGAACGCGGGGGGCGATGCGAGCGCGGAGTCGCGGAAGAAAGCGAAGAAGGAACTGGCCGCGCAGCGTATGTCACAGTGGAAGTGGTTGATAATGGACGAGGTGAGTATGGTGAGCGCGAACTTCCTGGCAAAGCTCGATTCGCAGTTGCGTTCGTGCTTCCGACGTCGTTCTTGAAAAACGCGAGAAAATATGCGCCAGGTGCCACAGAGGACCGCGGACAGTATATATTTTGGGGAGCTGGTGGCGACGGCGCAGCGCAGGGAATGACGGAGTTGACGGAGTGCAAGCGCGTAGAGGACCAGGACGATTGGTTTCCTGGAGTGCAGGACGAGTTTCGCCGAGGGGTGTTGTCTGAACGTGCGCGCAATTTTTTGCATGGCAGACCGACGGATGTCCCGGCGTCGTGGGTGCACAGCGCACCGTTGTGCACGAACGCGCGGCGTTTCGAAGACAAAGAGGCAACTGCGAAGCAAAACGGGCTAGAATGTGAGGCTTGCAAAGTTGAGCGGGAGAGGAGGAAGCTCGTCGCGACGTCGCCAGAAGATGCGCGGTTTCGGGGGGCGAAAATCCTGGAAGCTGTCGCCATTTATGCGAATCAGGACATTCGTTGCCACGTCGGGAAGCAGACAGCTGCGCAGCGGGCCGAAGAGCGAGGAGAACAGCTGCTCTGGATCGCAGCCAGGGACCGCCAGTGCCATGGGGGGGAACAGGGGCGGCCGCACACGGTGGAGGATAAGGTACGTTGGCTGGGGTACCACGAGAAGGAGTGCGCAAGCTTGCCCGGGTGGCTGCCGCTGGCCAAGGGGATGCCCGTGGCATTGGGGGTTCACTTGGATCGGTCAACGAAGCAGCTTCTGCGGGGGCGCACAGCGACGATCCATGGATGGGCGTTGCACGAGGACGAGGTCGTAGGAGATGAAGACGAGGAAGTGTTGTTGCATCTACCGAGAGCGATTGTGTTGGACTTCCATACGAAGGAGTGGCTCCTGCCAGGGTGGGAGCCGGGGCTGTATCCGGTCTTCCCATCGAAAGGGCGGCAATTTTTCTTGGACGGGTATAGGAAGCATCCAGTATTGAGTGTCAAGCGAACGCAGTTCATGATAACCCCGTCGTTGGCAGCGACGGCGCACTCAGCGCAGGGCCGGACCATGGGGGCAGTGCTGGCGGACCCGGGAAGAGGGCGCGGCGTGAGTTGGATGTCAAGTTGCGTGGCCATCGCGCGCGTGCGCAGGCGAGAGAACCTGCTGATCTTCTGGCCTTTTGATAGGAAGCCGTACAACGCAGGTGAGATGGCGGGCGCGAAAAAAAAACTGTCGCAGGTGCTACGAGGGGAGAGCGTGGATTGGGATGAATGGGAAGCGAAACTAATGCCGCGAGACCAGTGCGAGCGCTGCCGCCCGAGGTTGCTTGTAGAAGCGTTCGCGAAGTACGAATTCCAGAAAAAGGAAAGGCCGTCGTTCTGCAAAGCGTGCGCGGGGGAAACGAAAAACGCGGACGAAAAATGGTGCACGACGCGCAGAGGGTGGGCAACGAAAGCAGAGGGTGACGACGCGGCGCGCCATGGCAGCGGTCGGAACGCGGACGCGGCGGCCGACGACGGGGAGACGAAAAGGATTAGGACAATGTACTGCGCGAAGCGCAGCCATGTCAAAGCCAAGCAGAATTCGCGGAAAGGGAACGCGAAGCGGGACGAGAGCGTCGGAACAATGCGATGTTCGAGCAAGACGTGTCTGAAGCTGTTTGAAGAGCAGGCGGAAATGTCGGATGCTCAGAAGAAACATGATGCTGCGGGGGAGAGGCTCTGTCGGAAATGCGCGGTTAAGCGAGAGAATGAGGTGCGACGGGGAAATGCGGAGGCAGCGAATCGCAAACGGAAAGCCGAGGCGGACGCGAAACCGCTGACGCGCGCGGCGTGCGGAGGAGCCTTTCCGGACACGAAACACCTGAAGCATGCGCAAGGAAAAAATCTTCGAAGGGCGAAAGAAACCAAAGTTATGTGCGGAGGCTGCCAGGAACTCGGGTTCGCAGCCCGCAGTTGCCAGTCGTGTCAGTGCAGCGGCGCGTGCAAGAGAAGATTACCGAAGTCGGCGTTCTCCGTGAACCCTGCCCATGCCGCGCGCGATGCAAGAAAGGGCGCCCTGAAATGCAAGACTTGCAAATGATGCCCAATCGGGCGCGCGCGCGCTGGGGAGGGAAGGGGGAAGGGGGAGAGAGGGATGGGGAGTAAGGCGGAGGATGGGGGGATAAGAATCATGGAGGATGAGGACGAGGCGGGGGAGGAAGAGGAGGAGTAGGGGAGGAGGAGGTGGAGGATGAGGAAAGGGGGGGAGAAGGAGGACGGGGACACAGAGACGAAGCTCTGGGCACGCCTCTCGGGGGCCTCTGGAAAACAGCGAAACCCGGAAAGGCAACGATTGCAAACATTTTCAAACTCGCGATGGAGTGTAATGAGCTGCATACTGCGCGCCTCTTTCAGATGTCCTGAGGGCCATCTTGGAGACTTCGTGGGCGATATTGAAGCCCTTTTGAGGCCATCTTGGGCCATGTTGGAATTATTGGAACTATCTTGAGCTGTCTGGGAGCCACCTTTTGCCGTTTGGAAGCCATCCTGGGGCCGTCTTGGAACAAATGTGTCCTCGGGAGCGCGACTTCGTTTGATGTAGTGTGCAAGCACAATGCCGCCGTCGTGCTTGGGTTGTTGGTGTGAGGCTTGTGCGGTGACCGCTGGGATCTCTTGGGGGTTTTTCGCGGGACTCTTGGAGACAGGTTGGAAGCCTCTTGGGGGTCCGTTTGGGGGTCTTTCGGGGGCCTTTGGGGGCCTCTTGGGGGCCTCTTGGTGGCCTCTTGGGGCCTCTTGGGGCCTTCTGCGGCCGACTTGAGGCGGAAGGCTCGGATTGTCGGTTCGGGCTCCTCCTCTTGGGCCCCTCTTGGGGCCGTCGTGGGGCCCTCTTGGGCCGTCTTGAGGGCCTGTTGGGGCGTCTTGGCGCCCTCTTGGGCCGACTTGATCGCCTCTTGGGGGCCTCTTGGAGCGTTTTGGGGCTGTCTTGGGGTGCTCTTGGACCATCGTCAACGCCGTGGAGGCCGACAAGTCGTAATATATGATCAAAATGTACGCTTTCCCATCGCATTTTGACGATTTTCAGCTCGTCGGGCCTTCTGAGGACTGCTCTTGGAGGCCTTTTTGGCCGTTTTGGAGGCCTCTTGGCTCGTCTTGGGGCCATCTTGGGCGTCTTGGAGCGCTCGTTTGGCGTCTCGGGGCCCTCGTGGGCCGTCTTGGAGGCCTCTTGGAGCCTTCTGGGCCCGTCTTGAAGCCCTTGTGGGCCCAAAAAAGCCCCGTGGTGCGCTCGGACTCGGCCCGGGGGGGGGGTCGAATCTCCGGTTTGGGGTCCTTGCAACATGGGGGGGGATTGCGGGGGGAACTATCTCACACGCCTAGAGACCCACAAGGGGTCGGCGGATACAAATATCACGGCGGGAGGTTTTTCGCTGTTTTCGGTCTCTGGGGGCCCTCCCCCAGCCTCGGGACCGTCAAAGGAGGGCTCAGGATGAAAAGCCGGTCACGGGGAGTGGGTCTGGACCTTCGAGGGTCGCGTCATTGAAAGCATCATGACGTCGGGGGTCTGGGTTTTGGGCTCCTGCAGCCGCAATATTGCCAGCCCCAGGACCGCCAAATATCGGCGGCGAGCGAGGGGGGGAAATGAGAAGGAGGAGGACTCCTCAGAAGGCGGCGGGACTTTTCAAAAGCCCTCGCGCCTTCTGAGAAGTTTTCTGGAGAACTTTTTCACAAGTCTGGGGGACCTCCCAGCCTTCTGAGAAGGCCCGCCCCTTCTCACTTCCCTCCCCGCGCTCACCGCCCCGAAAAAGAAGCCCGAAAACACCGGCGCCGGGGAAGGGGTCGGGATCTCTGGGGGGGGCCACGTCACGGAAAAGGAGTTGCGAGCTCGGAGTCAAGCAGTGGCGAAGCGTCCTGGCTCGCCTATAGGCTTCCAAAGACTGCTCTGAGAACCTTCTGTGGTTTGCACGAATTGTTCTTAGAACATCTCTGGCTGGGACTGTACTGTTTTAGCACATCGGGCTCACGTTCCTCGGAACACCGTCTTTGTTCTGAGAACAGTTTTCTCGGGTTCTGAGAACCTGTCGTGGTAGGCCTAGAGGCATGCCGGGACGGGCAGTCCCTGCTCAGCGGAGGACTTCGGGGGAGCGTAAGACCCGGGTTTGCCGGGACTCGGGTTCGCCATCGTTTTTTGACGACCGCGACTCGGATTTTGACGAGGAGGAGTTTTGTGAGATGTCTGCAGCGGGAGGCCTCGTCAAAATGCAGGCTCGGCCTCGTCATTTTTTTGACGACCTCGTCGGGGATATCCGAGTCCCCCGTACCCGGGTCTTACGTCTCCCCGAGAGGACTTCGGGGGCACGTTCATATCGTACGACGGCGAGACGTGGATCTTCCGCGTGCCGCACTTCGGCGTGCTGGGCCGCGGATAGCCGAGCGCGGGCGCCCGGCGCGGTGCGATGGCGCGCGCGTGCCCGCCAGCTGGAGGCGTGTGTTCCGTGGGCCGCCGCGGGCTGGGGTAGGGTCGGGCACGTCCCCCCACAAGAGGATTTTGGACGAAAAATGAGACATACTCAACGTATTCACAACTGGTCACGACATATATATATATATATATATATTATATATATATATATATATATATATATATATATATAAAACGTCCTCCCCGGATATGTGCTTGTTTCGGTGACCATTTTGGAGTGCTCCTCATGTAGAGGGACAGGCCCGACTTCAGGCTTGGGTCTGGCACGATGTGCAGTGTGTCAGGCCTGGCCCGGCGGCCCCGCCGGCCTCCCCTCTCCCGCGATCTTCGGGACCTCGCAAGGGGGGGGGGGCCACAGGGGGGGGGGAGTTCGGTCCGTTAGCGCATCAAACAGCAGAACAACTATGCAAAACGAGGTCTCCGGCCGCCGCTGGAACCCGAGAGGTGTCGACAATCAGGGCGCGCGGGGGGGGCATCGTTTTTCGGAAATTCGATGCGCCGGCGGATCGAACTCCCCCCCCTCAGGGTCTCCCCCGCTGTGGTGGGCCCCAACCTCTCCCGCGATCTCCGCAGGCCAAGACCTCCTCGCGCTGCGCACAACATGACGACGGATGGCTTGGGGCACTATTGTCGGCCTCTGGTGGCCGCGCCCAGGGGCCGTCAAAGAATGACCGGGAAGAGGAAGCGGAGGAGGAGGAGGAGGAGGAGGAGGAGGAGGAGGAGAAGGAGGAGGAGGAGGACGAGAAGGAGGAGGCGGGGGAACGGAGAGAGAAGGTGGAGGAGGAGGAAGAGGAAGAGGAGGAGGAGGAGGAGGAGGAGGAGGAGGAGAAACTAGGAAGAGGGACAGGAGGAGGAGCTAGGAGGAGGAGGATTTAGGAGGAAAAGGAGGAGGAGAAATGGAATGGAAGCATCGGTCCCGGGGAGGTGGCCTAAGGCTCTGGAGGTCCACGCTGCGACCAAAATCACGACGTCGAATGCATGGGGAGGTGTGGCCGATCGAGGCCCGACCTGACTCGGGGGTAGCGATACTGGGTGGGCCAGGCACAGGGAAGGACGCCTCGGCCCTCAATCGCCCAGTGATCGCCGATAGGCGCTTGGCAGCCTCACGATCGGGGACCTCTCGCCGATCTATCGGCGACGCATCGTCGATTCCAGGTCGGCGTGTCCCCCCCATGCCAGTCCCCCCCGATCTTTGTCCCTAACTCACCCCCATTCGAGGAACGCGCGCGCAGGCTCCCTGGGCATTGACCGGGGATTTGCGGGAGTTCCGGGAAGCCCGCAGAAGGCCACTGCGCAGCTCCGAGACCGTCCCCCGAGGCCTTCATGTGAACAGCCGGGCCTTAATGCGGAGCGAGCCTGGGAATCCTAGCCCGACCTAAGGTGCCCATGGTCGGAAGGAGGGGCGTTGTTTTTCAGATCGGTTCTGTGAACCGCCAGGGGATGGGGATCCGGCCCGTGATCAGACAGGCGGGCACTGATACCAAGCGAACTCGGCTTCTGGAAGCCACCACTACCCTGGGCATATCCGCTGGTGGTTTCCGACTGCTTGAATGCCAGTGGTTCCTCAGGGAAGTCTCAGGATAGCATAAGTGACAGACCATCTCCCTTCTCCAGTCTTACGCGGCCGAATTCTAGTGTTTTATTAGCGTTTTCACCGCTGGCAAATTATACGCACTTCGGATAATTATGCCTATGTACAGGTACTGCCGGGCTCGCAGCGAAAATGGCGGCGCCAGTTGCCAGTGGAGAGAGTTGGTATTGTGATTGTTGTTGCTGCTGTGGTTGCTCCTTCTCCTCATCATGTTTGTCCCAGTGGGCGAACACGTCTTTCTTCTTCTTAGACGTAGATCATGGGCCGTATGCCTACGAGCAAGAGGAGTCAAGTGAGTAGCCAAGCAAACGTCTGAACCCTCGCTGATACACACGCAAGCATATAACTCTGTGTGTTACGGAGACAGCTAACAATGGAGAGAGAGAGAGAGAGAGCATCTTGCAGAAAGCTGTACATTGGTGCCGCAGGGGCGTGCGCACCCGGTGCAAGAAAAGCATGCGTGAGGTAAGACACCTCTTCTCGGAACGTCGCCCTCATGTGTTGCCGTGTGTGACCTCGCCGGTACAACGCATGGTATACGGGCTCCCGTCTTTTTGACCTTTTGCCCACGCGGGCTCCCCAGGGGAAGGCGGCCCCAGGAAGGCGCCCCTGGGGTCCTGTGGCCGCAATCACTTCTGCCCTGCCTACTCTTAAGTCGAGCCTGTCCCTCTACAGGGGGAATATTCAAACATCTGTTAAACATAGTCTGGGGACGATTGTTTGACTGTTTTCGACAATTTTTGTGGTGTATTTTTTGGAATATTGCTTTTTCTATTTGTCGTCCAAAATCCGCCTGTAGGGGGACAGGCCCGACTTAAGCCTATTCGAAATCTCTTACTAATCGTCCCCTGGGCTTGTTTTTTTAAGGGGCCTTTTTTGTAATTGGGGGGGTCGGTCTATTAGGGCGCTCCTTGTGGATTGGAGCTTAGGGGGTCCGGTTTATTCAGGTGCCCCGTCGAAGAGGGAGGTTCGGAATATTAGGTCGCATTCGGAGGGGGGTCCGTTTTTTTTTGGAGGGGGTCGATGAAGAAGGCATTTGGAGTGGTCGTTGCGCTGGACAGCAGGCCTTCTTGCGTTCGTGCTCTCGGGGCCTTTTCTTTGTGCTGCGCCGTCGCCCGGCCTTCGCCGGCGCTCGCCCTCCTCCTCCCCTGGCCTTCCGTCGGGCCTGTCCCTCTACAGGTGGAGAATTCAAGAATAGTGAGAACAGATAGCATGTTGACGATGTTTCTACTATTCTTGAATACTTTTGGGCGACGCAATCTATACATATCCACTGCTCCCTGGCCAGGCCCATCCTGAACCCAGGAGCTGTGTATACGCCCTCCTGGCCAAACCAGGAGGGCGTGGCGTATACACAGCTGCTGTGTTCAGGATGGGCCTGGCCAGGGAGCAGTGGATATGTATGGATTGCGTCGCCCTATACTTTAGGGTATTGTTTGGACTATGTTTTATTTTTCGGCCAAAGTCCGCCTTTTAGGGGGACATGCCCGACCTGACCCTGGCCCGCAGCTCCGGACCCCTCTGACCCAGAGCATCCCTCCCCCGCCTCGCGCCCGGGCCGGGAGCCCCGAGGCTCCTGGCACGGGGCCGCGGGCCAGCGCGGGGCGCTTTGGCCCTGGAGGAACGGGCCGGCCCGGGAGCTCTGCAGTTTTTCGTCGTTCGTCGTTCGTCGTTCGCTCGCCCTCCCCTCCTCGCTCCCTTCCCACTCCTCCTTCTCCTCCTCCTCCTCCTCCTCCTCCTCCTCCTTTTCCTCCTCCTGGCCAGGATCGAACGGGGCTCGGACGAAGATAAGTCCGCTCCAGAGCGCTCCAGGACGCTCTCAGAGCGTTCCGGAACGCTCTCAGAAGGCCGCGGCGCCCGAGACATCCTCCAGAGCCGCCAGGTGTCAGAGATTCCCGATTCACCCTTGCCCAATATTAGTATCGTCCTGTCTTATTCCGTGAATGCTGCAGTGCAGTTGTTTTGTCCGTGCCGCCCTCGTGAGCAGTGCAGGCTTTTCCTCGTGCCGCCGTCGGGACAAATTGGTTTCGAGGAGTGCTGGATGTCGCGGGCTAGCGTGTCCAGGTTTCGGGGGCGCCGATTCGTCGTTCGTCGTTCGTTCGCCCTCCCCCTCCTCTCTCCCTTCCCACTCCTCCTTCTCCTCCTCCGCCTCCGCCTCCTCCTTCTCCTCCTCCGTAGCCATTTTGGCGCAAGATGCTTTGTTCCACAGGGGAACACGTGGATACCGCTAGTCCGCGGCCAGTGCCAGGGCTGCTCAGCCCGACAGTTTTGGCGAGAGGTGGCCCGCCCCACCTTCTCGAGTCTGCGAAGTGCTCGCCATGGCGCCGAAGGCTCAGCCAGGTTTCGTCACCTGCACCTCGTGCCGTTTCAGGTTGGACGTCCGCAAGAACACACACTGCTGGACGTGCGGCAGTCCCTTGAGCTCAAGCCCGCCAGCCCGTCGCCGCGCAATGGTGCCTTGGCGGGCAATGGGGCAGGAGGAGCAGCGCCGAAGGCCAGCCCCAAGGCCACGGCCGCAGTGTCGGGCGGGAGCCCCAAGGCCAGGGCCGCAGCGGCGAGCGGCGCCGCCGATGGCCGCCGCGGCTTTCCTGGCGCCCCCTGGTCGTCGCCAGGGTCATCGGAGCTCGACAAGCTGCTGGGCATCCCCGACCCGACCATGGCGGCCAAGCTACGGGAGGCGGTTGTGTGGGCCCGTCACTTCATCCCCCCTTCGCCTGCAGCAGCCCCGAAGAGCTTGGAACAGCAGCGGCAGTCGGCCACCGATCGATGCATCAACCTCCAGCGCCAGCTCGACGAGGCCGCCGACGCCCTGGTGGCGGCCGAGGAGCAGCTGGACGAGTGCCGTGGCTGGCGCGACACCTGCGCTGCCAGCCTGGCGGAGGCCCAGGCGGAGGAGGCCGAGCTCCTGCGCAGTCGGGCCCAGGCCTCTGGCATCACGCCGCCGTCTCCTGATGGCTCGAAATCGGTCACCTGCACCTTCGATGTGGAGTCGTTCGAGAACTTCCGCGAGATAGAGGAGGAGGCCCAGACCAACCTCCGCCAGATGTGCGAAGAGGGCCACAGGGTCATGCCGGAGGCCCAGGCGGTGTTCGAGCGCAACTGCCAGGAGCAGCTACAGCGGCTCAAGGAGGACATCGAGGAGGCCGCGGTCAGCAAACGCCGCAAGAGGAAGCGGCTCCAGCCAGAGGAGTCTGCAGGGGCTCCCGCCCAGGAGCCAGCGGCAGCAGCTGCGACCGAGAAGCAGGCGCCCCCCCTGCTGCCGCGGCGGCTGCCGCGGCCTCCGCCGCCGCGGCTGAGCCAACCAGCGGCTCCAGCGAGCATGCCGCGAAGGCAGCCGAGCTTGGAGCTGCGGCAGCCGAGGCAGCCCGCCACCGAGCAGAAGGTGGCCAGCGCGCCGGCTGCGCCCGCTGCTGGCGATGGGGCTGCTGGTCAGTTCGCAGGGGGGCGCCCCCCTGGCAGGGGGGGTGCGGGCAGCCCTCCTGGTCAACTGCTTAAGCACGCGGCGAAGGGGCCGAGGCCGCTCGGACAGCAGCCACCCCCCACGTGGCCCCTGCCTGCGCGGCCCCCGACGGGGGGGTGGTCGAAGCCCGCCAGGTACGGAGGCAGCGTCGACCAGGAGGCCCGACGCCCAGCTGGGAAAGACCCTACGGCTACGGATGTGCATAGTTTGGTCCAGCACACAGGTCAGACACCCGCGCTTGCAGACGCGGTGGCCATCAGCCTTGGGCAGTGCCTGCCCCACCTGGAGCCCCTGGCGCTGCAGCAGGGCTCGCTGGATGGCGACCTCCGCATCTGCACCTGCAGCGGTGATACTTGGAACTCGATCGCCAGAGTCCCCGAGTGGATGCGCAGACAAGGGATCGAGCCGCACGTGGCGCTGGTCCAGGAGACTCGCTTCTCTTCCCAGACCGCCGAGGAGCAGGCCCACGGTTGGGCGAACCGATGCGGCCTCCAGCTGGCATGCTCGGTTGCGCTCAGAACGGAAGTGGCCGCCACGGCCGTGTCGTCTGGCGCCGGCATCGCCACCTCGAAGTTGCTGGGCTCGGCGAGGTTCGCCCCGCCTTGGGCAGGCCAGCATCGCGGGTTCTTCCCCCGCAGGATCTCTTTGGGCAAGGGCACCACCATTGCCATGATCTCGGTTTACCTCGAGGACTCCGTGGGCCTGCGGGGGCCCAACCGCCAGCTGCTCGCCGACCTCCACGAGTGGTGCGCGCTCTTGGACGACCCCTTTCGTGATTGGCGGCGGCTGGAACATCGAGGCCTCGGAGCTCTTAGACTGGTTGGCCAGCCCTTGTCGGGGGGGCTGTGCTGGCCCCAGGTGCAGCTACGTGCAATGGCAACGAGTGCGACTACTTCGTCACCTCGACAGCGTTAAAGGCCATGGCGGGCTCCATCACGGTTCCTGCCGATGCGCCGAACTGCCCTTACCAGGCGGTTTCCGTGGTGACACGATGTTGTTGGGAGCGACCCATGGCGCAGACCCGGCGGGTGCCCGAGGCTTTCGAGTTGGAGAGCGTGGCCGATGACGCGGCCAGAGGCAGGCGCGACCAGTTGGTCGAGTCGCTGGAATGGCCCCCTTTTCCCGACACTGGGCCCGATGGCCCCATCAAGGAGCGGCCCGCGCAAGCAGAGCTGGCTTTGCAGGCGCTCCAAGGAACGGGAGAGGACGAGGCCCGCTACTTCGAGGGCAGGGCCAAGGGCATCAGGGCTATCGCCGTCCCTCTCGAGGCCAAGGCGCATGCAAGCCCACTCGACAAAGCTTCGGCTATCACCCAGCGCTGGCTCTCCCTTCGCCACCTCGCCAAGCGCAGGTGGGAGTTGGGCCCAGGCTTTAGGTTCGTGAATTGACTACAGGCGTCCCAGCGGAAATCCTGCCCACATCTTCAAAACACCTTCGGCCGGAAATTCAAACTCCAAAAGAAGTTAAAGAATCTTGAATGGGAAACTCAAAATCCAAGACAACCTGAGAGAATCTCAAACACAAAACTTGGGGAAAACTCACACACAGAAGAAACGACCGGAAATCTTGAAGCCGAAACCTGGGAAAAAACTCAAACCTAAACAAACTTAGAAAACACTTGAAGCGGAAACCCGGAAACCAACTCAAACCCGGAATATATATATATATATATATATATATGTGCTTCCAGAGTTTTCCATAGTTGTACCATAGTTCGTCCAGAGTTAGTTTTAGAGTTCTCAGTCGTTTAGAGTTGTCCCAGAGTTTTTTTTCCACAGTTTCTTAGAGTCTTCAGTCGTTCAGAGGTGTTTTTCCAGAGTTTGTTTGTTCAGATGTTTTCAAGAGTTGTTTTAGAGTTTGTTTTTAGAGTTTTTGTTTCCAGAGTTGTTTCCGCAGTTGTTCGAGTGTTTTTTCCCCCCGATTTCGGCTTAGAGACTTTTTGGAGTTTTTGTTTGGTTTGAGTTCTTCCCAGGTTTGAGCTTCAGGTTCTATTCCTATGTGTTTGCGGGTTTCAGTTTTTCGCAGGTTCGGTGTTTGAGTTTTTATCAGGAAGTCGACCTCCCCAGGTCTTGATTTCCAGATTTCCTTGTGATGTTTTTCTGGTTTGGGTTTTTTTGGCCCGAAGTGGTCGTGGACCGCCTGTAGTCGCAATTCACGAACCTAAGCCCAGGCGGCTCGGCAGACGGCTACAAGACCCGACGAGCGCGGCAGCTGCGAGGGGCGGCGCCCCATCTTCGCGGCGAGTTTCAGGACCTGCGCACCGCCGCGCCCCATGGCCCCATCCTCGACAGCTTCCTGGAAGAAGTCGGCCTCCAGACGGACATGCTCCACAACCTCATGGCCATGATGGAGCAGCTCGCGGTCAAACATGCCGCGGAGGACTCCCAGGCCAGCAAGTCGAAGTGGGGCGACCTCACCGAGCTGGACTTCAAGCGGCAGGGGCCCATCGCCCACGAGGTCCCGGAGAAGACCCATGTCGAGCCAGCGCCCATCCTGGAGAAGGGCTCCACCAACGTTGCCCTCGTTGGACAGCCTGCGCTTGAGAGGGTCCTCGAGGACTGGCTCCCTCTCTGGGTGGGCCCAGGCCGGACGAATCAGGAGCGCCCCGGGTCCTGGGATATTGGGGAACGGGCGCCCAAGCCCATCGCGGTCGATGGCATCGCGCTGGCGGCCCGAAGGTTACCCGAAACCACGGGCCTGGGGCGGGGCAACTTCCGTCTTCGGTTGCTGCTGGAGGTCGGAGACGACATCCTTTTCAGGCTTGCGAGTTTGCTCAACTCCTGGGGGCGCAGTCCGCGTTGCGGCGAGCTCTGGGCCATCATCGTGGTATTCTTGCCGAAGACCGACGGCGGCCAGCGCCCCGTCGGGCCCATGCCGCTGCTCGCCAGGATCTGGCCCCGCATACGTCAAAAGGTATGTGCCATGTGGGGGCGGCCCATCGACCAGCAGGCCCCTGGGGCAACTCCTCATCTCGAGGTTGCGACAAATCGGCCTGGCTCCGCGACACTTGCGCGGCCCACGCGAAGTCCCCCCTCAAGGGGGCTGGGCCCTTCTACGCTGACTTATCCAAGTACTACGAGCACATCGGGCACGAGGAGCGCAATATAGCGGCGAAGGCGTGGGGCTTCGACCTGGGGCTGCTGCGAGCGCCGTGCTGACCTATCTGGCCCTTCGAAGGGCCCGCATCGGCGCCTGCCTCAGCGACGCCGCCACGGCGAACGGCACGGTTGTGGCAGGTTGCTCGTGCGCCACGGCATCGGCCAAGCTCTTGGGGCCTCTGCTGCGGCCCTAGAGAAGTCCAGAAGCGGCCTCTTGGATGCAGAAAGCCACCGCCCGACCCCTGTGCGCGAGAACCAGCGAGCACTGCGAGCCCCTGACCCTGGCCTCCGAGTCGGACGGGGGCGCCCTCCAACACCCGACGCGAAAATTAAAACCAACATCTGCCAAGCCTGCGCCCTTGGCTGGGCAGGCCCAAAGGAGGGGGAGGAGGAGGGGGAGGAGGAGGAGGAGGAGGAGGAGGAGGAGGCGGAGGGGGAGGAGGAGATGGAGGAGGAGGAGGAGGAGGAGGAGGAGGAGGAGGAGGCCAATAAACAACGGGAAAAAAGCTACGAGCAGACAAGACCATGCAGGAGGCGACGGGGGGAAGCAGCAAGCTAGCAAGCACGCAGGCAGGCCGACGCGGGAGGGGCGGGGGGCGGGGGGCGGCGTCGGCGGCGGTCGGGGTCGTCGTCGGCGTGGGTAGTCGTCGGAGGCGGTGATCTTGTCGTCGTCGGCCAAGCGCGGGGGCTCGGGGCGGGGGCGGCGCGTCGCTGGCGGCCAGGCGTGGGCTAGGGCGGCGAGGGCGGCGGGGTTGCCAGCGCCGGCCAGGGGCGGAAGGCGGAAGGCGGGGGCGGCAATCGCCGGCTGGCGGCCTGCGCGTCATCCGCCGTCGTCGCGGCCAGCCGGGCTGCCGGCGCCCTGTCCGGGGCTTGCAGCCGGCGGAGCACGGCCCGCGCATTCTCCATGCGCAGGAAGAGTAGCGAGTCGTTGGGCGTGCTCCGCCGCCGCGAGGGCGGGGTCGTGCAGAAACCCGCACGTTGCCGCAGCAGGTGGAGTGCAACCTAGGCGTTCTCGAGTTCCCCGGGTGATTCGAGGAGCTCGGCGGCCTTGTCGACTCGCTGCCGGGTGCGCTCGCGGCAGAAAGCGTTGCTGCCTATTGGGGCGCCGAGGAGTTGGTCCACCTCGCCGTCGCCGCCGCCAGCAGGAACCACCTCGCACTTTTCAGTCCCCGTGCTCAGGCGGAGTCCCACGGCCGCCAGCTCTTCTACCAGCAGGTGGAGAAGGCGCGCCACGGCGCGCCAGTCGCCCGCCAGGGTGCCGTCGTCGAGGAAGAAATTATCTTGGCGAAGGACCCAACCATATGAAGTTGTGGGTACCGCAATTGTGAATATCTTCTTCGGTGAAGCTCCCCATGGGGCCACGAAGCGCTGCGTTGGGCAGGGGTGGAACGCGTGCGGGCAGTGCCACTGGGGCCGTCGGTGAAGCTCCCGATGAGGCCACGAAGCGCTGCACTGGGTGGGTGAAACTACCAAATTAAGAGTGCGGGACGCAAGCGGGCGGCCCCATTGGGGGCTTCGGTGGAGCCCCCCATGGGGCCGCGAAGCGTTGTGAAGGGTTGGTGAACATGCCAAATTGCGCGTGGGGGGCGCATGCGGGCAGCCCCACTTGGGGCTTCGGTGGGGCTCCCTATGCGGCCACGAAGCGCTGTGCTGGGTCCGCGAAAATGCCATATCTGGTGTGGGAGACGCATGCGGGCGGCCCCACTGGGGGCTTCGGTGGAGCCCCCATATGGGGCCACGGAGCGCTGTCCTGGGCGGGTGACAATGCCAAATCGGGCGCGGGGGGCGCATGCGGACGGTCCCGCTGGGGGCTTCGGCGGGGCTCCCTACGAGGCCACGAAGCGCTGTACTGGGTGGGTGACAGTGTCAAGTTGGATGTGGGGGACGCATGCGGGCGGTCCCATTGGGGGCTTCGGCGGGGCCCCCTATTGGGCCACGAAGCGCTGCACTGGGTGGGTGAACATGCCAAATTGGGCGTGGGGGGCGCATGCGGGCGGTCCCACTGAGAGCTTCGGCGGAGCTCCCTCTGGGGCCACGAAGGTTGTATCGGGTGGGTGGAAGTGCTAAATTGGGCGTGGGGGACGCATGCGGGCGGTTCCATTGGGGGCTTCGGTGGGGCTCCCTATGGGGCCACGAAGCGCTGTACTGGGTGAATGAAAATGCAAGATTGGGCGTGGGGGGCGCATGCGGGCGGCCCCACTGGGGGCTTCGGTGGAGCTCCCTATGGGGCCACGAAGCGCGCTGTGCTGGGTGGGTGAAAATACCAAATTGAGTGTGGGGGACGCATGCGGGCGGCCACGCTGGGGGCTTCGGTGGAGCTCCCTATGGGGCCACAAAACGCTGTATTGGGTGTGCCAAATTGGGCGTGGGGGGCGCGTGCGGGCGGTGGCGCTGGGGCCTTCGGCGGAGCTCCCTATGGGGCCGCGAAGCGCGTGCGGGGGGTGCCAAATTGGGCGCGGGGGACCCATGCGGGCGGCGGAGAGGAGGAGGGGGAGGGAGGAGGGGGGGGGAGAGGACAGGAACGCGGGGGCCGTCTCTTCAAAACGAGGACCCGACACCACAGGATGGCTGGGACAATTCAGGTCCCAGGTGCCCTCCGCCGCGGGGGCTGGCTGGAGGATGGCCCTCTCCGCAGCGCGTTGCAGCGCCGAGGAGAAGAGCAGCGCCCCCGGGGAGTCTCCACGTTGCACGCCGCATTCCGAGCGGATCGAGCGGCGGCCGAGCCAGAGACGGGAGGGCGCCCGGTAGCGCCAGGAAGCCCGCGGCGCAAGAGCGGGCAGCTCCTCGTGCGCAACTTGCAGGAAGGCTTGGCGGTCGAGGGAATTGAAGGCGTTGCTCAGGTCAGGTTCAACGAACACCTTCTGCCTGCTGTCCGCGTGGCGCGCGAAGCATTGTCTGGGCACGTGGGCCGCCGCCTCGCAGCCGCCTGGGAGGGCAACGCCCACCTGCAAGTGGGCAAGGCGGTCTCGAGCGGCGTCGGCCACCTGGCTGCAGAGGCACTTCGCCCCCAGGCGCCGCGCAGTTTCCCCCGCGGCCGCTGGTCGAAGGCCGCCGTCCTTCTTGGGCAGGGCCGCCACCGAGGCGCCAGCCAGGTAGTCCTCCACGCCACTGGGCGCCTGGCCCTTCGCGAGGACGTTGGCGAGGGCGAGCAGCTGCTGTAGCACCGCGTCGCGGTGGGCCGCCGTCGCGCTCCTGGAGCGGAGCCCCGAGGGAAGGCCCGCGCCTCGCGCTCGAGCGAAGTTGCGTCTAACTG